GCAGGAGTTATTCTTCAAGCTGTCAATACAGATGCCTAGCAGCACCACACTCAAAAACTCTGATTCTGAAGGTAATCTTTTCTACCTCTAAAATAACAGAACGCTCAATTAAGCATCCTCAATGCCTCTTCATCAGCAAATAAAGTCACTCAAGCACTTACTGTCACTTAGACTCAAACAAAAACTAACAAGATTATCACTGCAAAAGTTATATAACAGGACTTAAAGCAATAAACATCAAGCTAAAACTGAAGCTTTGCTACTATTTCAATCTGCAAACACCTTGTATCATGCCAAGCAAGCCTGTGTCAATGCTACGGGTTTACCAGTTCACCGAATTTTAAGAGAATTGGGGACATTTTATTTTGCACCTAACTACAACATAAAATATACAGTGAAATAATCCAGTGTGTTGCTTAATCCTCATGAGAAATATACCTGAGCCAAAACCAAAAAAACAACCACCCACCAACAAAAAACCCAAAACAAAACTCAACAAAAAAACCCACACACCAAAACTCCTCAGAGAGTGCTGTCAACTTGACTAATCACACACAGCCCCCAGTCTTCCAGTAGGCTAAGGAGAATATTCTGAAAACATTAAGTCATGCCAGACCCATGAAACCGAGGAGAAACATCACCTACAGCCTATTTGACTTGCAGCTTCCCCTACCCCAACCTACCCCAAATCCTAAGCTTCTACTCTTCCAGGGCCTAAGTGCAGTCCCAGGGCAGGTTTCTCATATACACTAAAGCTGTTTACTTTCCACGCTACAACCCACAAAGTTATTTTTTCTCTTCTCTTTAAGTACCTTGAAGCAAAACACAGCAAAAGTTCTGTTAAATTCTGATATGCTGAACAGAAGTTCACAGAAACTACCGTCCTCTTGCTCTTACCTAGTGTGAAGCAAGCATGAAGCTATACTGTTCTAGCCTTAAATTCACCTCATAGTACAAAACAGACAACTTACAGGTATCACACAATGCAGACTGATGAACTTGGAAGTCTGCTACATAGAACAGCAGAGATTTCCAATACAAAGTGACAGAAAGTGTTCAGAATACCGATTGTTGTGCCAAAATTATATTTGCAATTTCCAAATGAGACCTCAACTCCCCTCATACTAGATACAAACCTGGTATACGCAGGTTATCAATTTAGTTCAAATGTCAAACAACAACCCACAATTAGCTGACATAGTCCCTAATATGGCCACAAATCAACTGAAATTGAGGCCACTCGGACATTTGTTTCCAGAAGAACTGAAAAGGAAAATGTAGAAAGAGGAAGTCATAAAGCAAGGTAGGAAAATTAACACAGCTACCTTGGGGTTTTATTCCATTCTTACAGGTTTATTTCATGTATGATAATTAGTCAGTTTTCCAACCTTCACCAACCAATCTAAATTCAACACTTCATATATTTCAGTTACATAAAGTAAGATGCAGACTGAAGATTTCACCTATGAGTAAACTGACAGGATTTGAAAAAGTTATACTTACCAAGAAGGATTAGAAGCTAAGGACAGTTTTCAAAACTGATGTCTTCAAAACCAGCTTTGTTTAAACATTCACATATCAGATCAAAGATAAGAATAACAGCAAACTATGATTCAGCCATTTCTGTTTTAACTTACTTTCAAACTATCATTTTAGATGAAAACATCCTTCTTGAACTCCCCATTATTATTACTAAGCAACAGAGGGCAAAGTAGAACAAAAGGACAATGACCTGATTACTACCTTCCACACTCTCAAGCCAGCTTTCTGCACATAAATGAAATTACATCTAACTCCAAACCAATACCAACAACAAAAGTACTGCAAAAGAATTGCCTGTATTACCTGGAGTCTTTTACAATACAAGGAAATTCAATGGCAAAGGCTATTTGCTTTATTTCTTTTGTACCCCACTCAACATAAATACTTTAACTTCAAAATTGACTTAATCTCTAATTTTCATAAGCAAATTGCTTTGAAAGAAGTTCAAGCAGAAGAAAACACTTGAAATAAGTTTAAATACAAACATACTATGGATGTTTTATTAATATCAGCTTCAGCAAAACTTTGATTTCATATATCAAAAACTGAGGTCCCAGGCAGATCTGAAAAGATCCCTAAATGCGCAACACCCGCAGTTAAGCTTACATCCATTTTATGTCTCAATCCTATTAAGCCTACCCTCTAGCACCTATAAATCATGTTAGCCATGCTGTCCTATGACTGCTGACACTGCCAGCTTGCATTTGGTCAAGGTGACAGAAGTGGGATGAATTATAAAAAAAAAGAAAAAAAGAAGAGCCTGCACTGTAAAGAAACAAGTCTTTTTCCTGTCCTCATATTAACAAGCAAGCACTTGGGACTGCAGAACTGACACTTTGACGGAACAGCGAAGTACACAACTAATGCAGAGATATACAGAGATTATTTTAATTAAAAACAAAGCAAACATATCTTGCCTACCTAGCTGCTCAATGATGCTGGAAACTGTCCCAAAGAGCTTCAGTTCAACATCATCAGGCAGAATTATTGATAAGTCTTCAACAGGAGGGAGTTCCTGAAAATATCAAGGCAATGTTCAGAATATAATCTCATCACACTAAGACATTCATCACTTTGTCGCAGCATAAATTTGACAATCAGAAAAACCTCCTAGCATTTTGAAGATTTAATAGAAGTCTAGCTCGATTTGTCTCTTTCAGAATAATTCTGAATGAACTCATCTTGGGGGAATGTCACTTTTGAAGACACCTTTTCACTTGAGATGCTACTCTACAGCATTCTCTTGAGATGCTATTTCTATTGCAACTGAAGTAGAAGCCGATTTTATTCAACTGGAGAAAACCAACAACTGATAGACATTCGTTCATTTTCTTGAACTTTCAAGTTAGATAAATTAAGTTCACTGTACAACACAATAATTAGATAATCGGCAATCAAAAAAATCAGACAACTTATAACCACGCTCAATGCATGACAGAAGAAAAATGTACAAAGCAAGAGATAAAATAGCATGAAATACATCAGATACGCTATCATCTGATTTGACAAAATGGTACTTCCCATTTATGTTGTGACTCAGATCATTCTACAAGATGTAAAGATCACAACAACCAATACAAAAAAAAATATTTTTAGCTAAAAGTTCTATTTGGTACAAGAGGATAACCATAGAGAACACTTTTGAAAAAAACCACCAAGCTTCAAATACACAAATGAGTACTGCACAAGTATTCAAATTAATTTTTTTCTTCAAATGTAAGCATGAAAATCTGCTACCAAAGTCTGATTAACACTGAACTCATCATCTACCTCCAATTTACTCATATACTAAGACTTCTATGTATATACCATACTGCTGTGAATTCAGTACAGGCTATATGGAATACAAGGTAAGGGCAACTAGAGTTGGAACTATCTTCAAATTCAACATCTTCTGAATTTGGAGGTAGAGTCCAAATCTGAGCACTGAACTGCACTTTTAAAGGCTAGAAATAAAATCTGTCTCCCAACAGAAGAATCTTATCCTGTCTTATCAAAACCTCACCTGATAATCTTCACTCTTAACAAAAGTCCTTGGCAAAGGCTTCTAGAGTAACCCAAAGCCCAGGGGCCAAGACCTTCCCAGATCACGTAATTTAGCAAGTTAGCTATTACTGTCAACTTTTGGGTCTAAGACTAACCACCATGTTTCATTTTTAACAGATATATTTTAATTTTCAAATTGTATTCCCTCAAATTTACAGTAAGACAATCTACAAATTTTCAAATTGTATTCCCTCAAATTTACAATAAGACAATCTACAACATACATTTTTACATAGACTAATTCTGTTACTGTAGATGCATGTCAATGCTGCAGCCTTTCCAGTCATCTAGCACTTCATTATAAACCCTTACAGAGCACTGAAGCAAAGGTAAATATATCCAAATGTATTTGCTCTTCAGAGGCTTTTTTTCTACCTTTCTAACAA